TTCACTGCCAAAAGAGGAGACAGCATGAAAAATTATAAGCAGATGTATTAAAGCATTTATATCAATAGCGGGTATTGAAAAAAACTTTGTCAATGTCCATGACTTATCTTTCCACTTCTGTAAAACATGGTGCAGATGTAACTGTCTAATCTGACTTTTAGTCACAATATTTAGCTACATGAAAGATAAAGTATAACGTAACGCTACAGATACATCTTCTTTCAGTCTTTCTCAGCTTTGGAACTGTGAGCCTTTGAAAGCAGATGACATACTCAATTATTATCAAGTAAATTTTTTATCTGTCATTTGATCACTTATGACAGCAAATGAAATGCAGAAAGACTAAACATGCACTACAGAATTAGACTGAAAAATGTAACAGTTATTGTAGTGTATCCAACATACTAAATGTAAATTATCTGCCAGTTTTGAATAACATTTTTATGCTTTTCAGATAAGATCAGCCAAAGTTCTGGCGACAGCGTACTTCTATAATATCTTTCAGAATATCACACATTGCTTCCTGCTGAAAGAGGAATTCTGAACTCCAAGAGTCCTGCTGTGACATGGAGCTCTAGGGAAAAAGGATAGGATCTTGGTGTGTTTTAGTCTTAGCTTCAAATGTTCATAGACCAGAATGTTTCCTTTTGTAAATCAATGTAATTTCCCTGACAATACCAGCAGATGAATCCAGTCTTTTGTTTTCTACCACAATTCACATATTCTTCTAAAAGCTATTTTAGATTCTACCCTGATCGAACCATTTTGACTGTAAAACTGCTACCCAGAGTTCAGGAAAGAATTGTTCTTCAGGATGGTGACAGTGCAAACCACTTCTGTTACCTTGACAATAGGGACTGGCTTTCTGTTTGAAGGACTTATCCCATAGTTTGTGAAGTCAGAAGAAAGCACTTCCATCACTTACTCTGACTTTCTGTATATACAGAGGTCATCACGATTTCTGGGCTCAATTCTTGTATGAATGTTTTAAGGTAAGCATCCTGTCTCAATTTAGACATTACCAGTATTGACACATTTAAAGTCATACCAGGTGTATATTACTCCATCAATTTGTTTACACGCATGGTTTTAATCCCATTCTTAGTGTGACTATGTTGAGCTTTAACGTTAACCTGGGAGACTGAAAAGTCTGTTCCTGGAATGTTGTTCTCCACACAGATACTTCCACTTCACAGCTGATTCACTCCTGAAAGCATCTCTTTCATGCACTTGTTCTGCCACTGTTAGATTGAGCTCTGAAGATCTCCTCTCCAGAAGACAAAGAGAGCTATAGTCTCTGGGACATCTGTCATGAAGTCATCTCTGAGAATTGAGATTAAGAGCCTCATTTTTCAGAGACTACCAAACTACTTTCAGATAGTAATAACTAATGTTCACTTGTGTCCTGAGGTAGCTGCTGAGCTAGAAAAGAAGGCAATCGTTATCCATCACCTCAGGTGCTATTGTTACCAGGACAAAAAAGTTCTGGGCCTTATCTTTCAGTACTGAAATTACTCAGAGTTTGTCTTTGACTTCACTGGCAAAAGAGAAGTCTCGTAAAACAAGTTCATCTCACCCTGCTTTAAGTGTCTAAATCTGATTTACTTTTTATGTACTTTTTATAGTCAGTAAAAGATAAATAGACACTTCCATGGCACATCCCTCCCACCCAGAACTTGGCAGATGAATGTTACCTAGCTTCAGCATTTCCGGTAACTATATGGGATATTTCCATGTTAAATCTCTCCATTTAACATGACAGAAAGATGACTGTAATGATGTGATTCAGGAGAGGTCCCACAGGAGTATGACATGAACAGAGCACAAGGGAAGCAAGAGCCCACAATAAATCTGAAACTGTGGAACCAAAAAGAAATCGAAAGCACGGGAGTTCACAGCAAACCCCAGAGGTGGAACTGCACAGAGGTGGGAAGTATTTGCTGTATGAGTGCTGTGGCTCCAACACCCTTTGGAGAAAAAGAGGTCCGGAACTGCTGGAGTCTGTGAAAAATCACAAATCCAAAGAGCCTTGGCAAGCAACATTTGTTTCTTACTATGAGGAAATATTTTGACAGTTGGGAATGATACTGTCTGGCAGGTTTTACCACTGCAGGTTCTTATGGAAGGAAAAAATTCTCCAGGGAAAAGCCCTTGTAGCATATACGTATTTGCACCCATACAATTACATTTTGTACTTGAACTTTTAACTCCTCCCACAGTTGCTGCACTTCAATTACTGTTTACGTGTGCTGTTTCATCTTTCTGTCCGTACACACACACGTAAAAACATCTGTATTCCTTAAAAGGAAAAAATACTGAATTCAGTAATAGCATTTCTTATCCTTTTACAGTGCCACATAAAAACCTGTATAAATTCTGAGCAGGTTTAAGGGGAGATTACTGCATGCTGATAGCTCAACCTGAAAACCCTTTTTTCTAGATTACAAATAACATAATAAAGATTATAATATAATCCTGGCAGCAGATTTTACATCTACATCCAAAGGATGTGCAGGATTATTAAAGAACAGTGCAATGTCTTAAAATGTGAACCAGACCTTTTTACTGAGCTGTACTGCAGACTCCACTGCTGCAATCAATACTCCAAACAGCCCTATTTTTCTTGGACAAAACCCCTACACATATCTGACATTTGAGGAAGCCAGGTGAGGAAATCAATATCTAAACAAAAATGCACTTAATCATATCTCCTCTGGACAGATGCAGATTGGAAAATCCTATACGGTCCACATATTGCCTTCTGCTTAAAGCTTAGAAATGAAGCTGTGCTTCCTAAATGGCAATGTCCTGCTGCGAGAGCATTGCTGAAGCTGGAGTGAATACAGTAGCAATTAACTGTGTGCCAGCCCATGTGAGATGATCTATTGCTCAAATTTAAGTTTAGGTATAGTTTTTTGTTGAAGCACTTCAGCATAAATACATGATAACAAAAAAATGTATGTACTTTATAAATGTAGCAGCTTTACTGGAATATATAGCAAAGAGTCACACATTCGCTTTAACCTTACATCTCCTGGGCTGCTTTTTCATACCTTGAGTCAGCCCAAGGAGGAATTTAATATACACACATACTTTATCTTACCGTAATGCCTTTAAGCAGTGACCATTATTGGACATTTCTCATGGCCTTGCAGGTGATCATTAAACGTGTAACAGCCCTACTACATAGACACTAAATGAGTATAGATAGCTCTAATGCCAAAAAATGTCTGTCTTCAAAGGTGCGTTTGTGCACAGAATGGCTTCTGTACTTAAAGGTGCTCCTTTACTTGACATTACTTCATAAAGCCCTTTGAGATAACCACAGTGAGAGATGTTTTAGAACAACACAGTTTTATTTCTTCTCTGCTTTAGCCCGAAGCGGTTCAGCGTTATTTGAACATCAGCAACAGCACCTCTTTACGACTTCAAAGTCAGATCCTAACCTCAAACTGGCAGTGCACCTCAAGATTAAAACTCTGCCTGGCACTGTAAGAAATGGATGCTTTCAGGAGAAACAATAGCAATAGGAGGTAACAACACCACGCTCTAGTATCGCTCAATTAGGAGGCACATTAAGGTGCCTGACACGAATGCTCTTACAGGAAACAACTTAAGAAAGGTGTGAGAAAAAAGATGACACCATTAAGCTTGGGAAGAGTTTTGTAGCTGTTATTAACCTGGAGGAAAGGTGAGACTCCTCCCAACTGACCTTCATAGTGAAAACCCCCATCAGGCACTCTGCAATGACAAAGCCCAAAACATGCAATCCTGAACAGAAGGAACTGCAGATAGATGTTTGAGGTGTTTCCTACCTAAACAGCTACTGTCTGTTTAGGAACACAGCGAGAGGTCTCTTAATATGAAAGAAGAACATCTCTGTGGTGGAGTCAGCCTAAACCATGGAAACTGGGAAGCAGCTACAGGTGCTTTGAGGTCCTGCTGGCACAGAGATAACGGCGGTTCGGGCTGGGTGTGATGGGCTTCCTCAGCAAATTCAGCTGTCCTCAAGAGGAGGACACTGCTCTCTCTGTTTTTGTGTGAGGCCCATTATGGCAGTTTGATCAACTCAACAAGTGCTTCCATCCTACTGATACACAAGAAAGCAACTGCTGTTGTGATTTCACCTAAAGGGGGCTACAATGAAAGATGGGGAGGGACTTTTTGCAAAGACATGTAGGGATAGGACAAGGGGGAATGGCTTTAAACTGAGAGGGGAGATTTAGATTATACCTCAGGAAGAAATTCTTCACCATGAGAGTGGTGAGGCGCTGGCACAGGGTGCCCAGAGAAGCTGTGGCTGCCCCATCCCTGGCAGTGTTCAAGGCCAGGCTGGATGGAGCTTGGAGCAACCTGCTCTAGTGGAAGGTGTCCTTGCCCATAGCACGGGGTTGGAACGAGATGATCTTTAAGATCCCTTGGACCCAGAGCAGTCTGGTGTTCTATGTGGGCACTCACCAGTAAAGGCAACACGGCACGGCTCGGAGTAACGCGTTCCCGCACGAGATCCGCTCTCGGGCTCCCCGTACTCCCCGCTGCTGCCCTCCCGTCCCGCACAGCCGGCGGGGCCCAGGTTGTGACTCACTCACCTCCCACCCACCATTGCCTCCATTCAGGCGGGCTAGGAGCGGCGGCGGCGGCGGCGGCTGCAGCTCGTTCCTTGCTTCCCGCCGCGCTCCGCCACAGGAGGCAGCGGCAGCGGCAGCGCAGCCGCGGCGAGGCCCGGGGGCAGCGGGTCCCTCGGCGTGCGGCAGAGGGCGCCCCGCGTTCCGCTCAGCGCGGGGCCGGGAGGAGCCTCCGGCGCGGCCGGGGCGGGCTGGAGCTGCCACGTCTCCTGCGCCGAGCGGCGGGGCAGCCGGCCCGCGCCTCGGCTCCACGTGTGGCGGAGCGGGGAAGTTGCCGGCGGCCAGCTCGGGCTGTGCCCGTCCCTCCGGTGAGCGCAACTCCAAGTGCGGGCGCTTGGCGGCCCCTCTGTCCTGAGGGAGGGCGGCGGGGAGCGGGCGGCGCGCTGCAGGGAGCGCTGAGGGGGGGCCGCGGGCCGAGCCCAGCCCGCGGTGTGCCCCGGGGAGCAGTGGGCTCGGCTCCCGGGAGGGCCAACTTCCTGCGGAGTTCGGCTCCGAGCGCTCCTCGGCGGCGGCCGCGGCTGAACCGGAAAGTTTGCAAAGCCGGTGCGGGGCGGCGGGGAGCCGGGGGGCGAGCGCGGGGCGCGGGGAGCCGCCGCCTCAGCGCGGGGGGGGGGGGGGGCGGTTCGCAGCGCGCCTCTCGCCTCAGAGCCCTGACACCGATCGCTCCGGGCACGGACCCCGCCGGGGCCGGTCCCGCTGCCCGGGGAGAGCTCAGGTGAGCCGGTGGCGGAGCGGAGCCGCGGCGGGGTTGGGGGGTGTGAACTGCAGCCCCTGGAAGCGGTGCTGAGCGCGGACGCAGCGAGGGCAGCTCCTGAGGAGACTCGGGGAAGACTTCAAGGGTTTGGTCTGGTTTTCCTTCTTAATTTCGGTTCACCCGTCGCGAGTACCGGGGAACGACCGAGACTTGTGTTTAAGCAACCGGTTGGGGGGGGGGGGGAACCCTCAGGAAAACGTTAAAATGGGACCCGGGGAAAAAAGAGAGTATCTTCTGAAAGTGAAAATGTGGCTTTTCTCTCTTATTTTAACCTCTGTGCCTTAATTTGTGTGTGTTTTGTCCATACAAACACGAGTTCGGTTCATAGTTCTTTGGTTCTCATCGCTGGTTACCTATAAGAGATTGGTTTGTTTTCTGTTCTTTCGAAACCGGTTATGGTTCAAACCATCTTTTAAAGCAGCAGGAATTGGATGTTCTCAGTCACAGAGATTTCCATTCCAAGGTCCCGATCCTGCCTGAGGTTTGTATGGTGTGGGTCTGCAGTACCACCCTGTGCTGGGACCTCCGGGGGTTCCGTGTTCCTCTCAGTTGTAAAGATTTGATTGTCAGTTGTCTTCAGCTTTGTTAAGGAATTTCCTCCTTTAAATAAACCAGAAACCTTGCAGGAATTCCCTGATGCCCTGTTAAAAAAAGTGAGATGAGTTTCTCATTAGTACATTTTTAATGACTTCCCCCCCTCTCTCTTAACTGCCTTTAAGTGGCCTATTTATAACATAGAGCCCTCCTAGACTGAAGTTAAGAAGAAAGCTGATTTTAGACTGTTCTCAGCCTTTGTAGACAGAATTTTCACAGATCTTTGTCAGGTAAATGAGCTGCTCCTTGTCACAGCAATGTTAGCTGCTGCTTTCCCTCGTGCTTTGTGGGGAATGTGGAAGGGACGTACCTATCAACTGGAATTTTGTGTGCGTCTGTCAAATACTCCTTATTGTATGGGAAACTCTAGGAACTGCCTGTTCTTTAGTGCTTCTTCCAGGGTGGACTTGCGTAAGATTCTGCTCCTCAGGGGGTTTTGTCAGAGCTGTTTGTCACGAATGCAGAGTGATACAGCACAGCACTGCAGACATAGGTAAAGAAGCCATTTACAGAGCTGGGCATCTTCGGGTGCTGCCAGAGTGGACATGGGAAAGCCGTCCTTCTCATGGGTCATTAGCACACTTAACACCCATCAGGGATGTGGTTGGTGTTCACAGGTCGATGGGACTGCTCTGTGCAAGACATCAGGTCATTTAGCAGTGGCCGCATTCCCACACCTCCTGTCCATGAAGCACCACCTGAGCTTTAACGCTGCACCAGAGCATCAGACTTGGGTGGACAGTGCCCTGTGTGAGGTGGCACAAGGCTGTTCCCCAGCTGATGGCTGTTTCCTTGCTGCTTGTTTAGAGGTGTGTGCAGTAACAGTGAGGAGTGGACTGTATGCCAGCCAGTCACTGCTGTATCTGTGTGCTAGCAAAATAATCTTGATCTTTTACTTTATTATTATTTAATCGTGTTTTCCCATGCATTAAATAGTGAAATGCTTTTACATATATATGATATACATGATGATTAGGTGGTAGGAGCTGGCTTATGGAACAGTAGATGGACTATACCCTAAGTCTTTCGGCCATAGCACTTAATATGTAATGTAATGCAATGCAGTTTCTGTGTTTGTTTTTGTTACAAATGTTCCCCCTCCACCATCTTTCTCTTTTGCCTGTTACTTTGAAGCCCAGCGAGACTTGTCCTGATGGGGTGTACACTACCAAGAAGCAGTGGTGGAGAGGGGCTGAAAGAATTTCTTCATTAAGAGTCCCAGGAGACCTACCCTGGTTCAGCAGGTAGCGCTGCTGTTGTGGGGACTGCACTCAGACACATTGATCCTTTACAGTGGCATCAGGGTTTGAGGGAACTGAGCACCAATTCGCTGTACTGAATCGGGCTGGGTTTTGCTTTGACTGTTACAGCTGTGTCCCAGCTGCTCCCAAAGCCATCTAGGGCCTTCCAGAATGGATCTGGCATCTCTTGATTCAACTATTTTGGTCCAGGTGCTCCAGAATAAAACTATCTCTGTCTTTGTACTAATCTCTGTCATGAGCTGCAAGATGCACCTATGGGCAGGTTGATGTTCAGTAGCATCCCAGTCTGGATCTCTCTGGTTTTGGATGGATTATGGAACTCCTATCACGCTTATAGAAATGTCCTGAGAGGAGATCTTGGCTGTTATCTTCTCTGGAGATTTCCTAGGGTTGTTTGCTGTACAGGGACACCAGAGCAATGGCAGAGCTGCTCTGTAAGACCACAAGTTCTGTAATCAGGTGGCATGTTTTTTTTCTACAAGGTAACAGATCCTGAGGGCCCTCCCTGATTGTGCCCTTTTTTTTTGTTCCCCTTTTGGTTTTGTTCCTTTAAATTACTGCAGTATCAACTTTCCAGTAAGGGCTCAGTAAAGCTGAGAAATTACCTTCCTTTCTGCCCATTATGGGAAAGAGTTATGTTGACAGATGTGGGCTGTGTGAGGATTTGCTGAGCTCTTAATCCTGTTTGTGGCTAATAGGCCATGCTAATGTGAAAGGCCATCTCTTTCAGTATATAAAGGTCTTAACTGCTTGCTACCTTAGGGAAATGTGCTGTTAAAATGCTGTAATTGTCTTAGCAGTAGTGGCAGGCCTTGAGTTTGTTGATGTAAAATGCAGCAGTGCAGGCCTCTCCTCCCTACTTTTTTCTTTTCTTGAGAAAGAGATTTTTACTTGTTAAAACAAACCCTAAAGTAATTGCTGTAGGCAACTGAAGAAGTAGGCTTTGTATGTTGGATGTGGCAAACAGCCAGAGATCAGGTATTTTTGAGCCCTTTAGGCACATCTATATTGCGCGGGGATGAGAATGTGTGATAATATTCTCTTTGTTGTCTTTTGCCCTAACACTGGTTTAGTTTTGGATTTGGTTTGGTTTTTTTTTTTTTTTTTTTTTGTCTTCTCCATCCTACTTTGTTTGAATTCTTGTATGCTGATTTTAGTTGCAAAGAAGCAAGTCACTTCATCATAGAATCACAGAATGGTTTGGGTTGGAAGGGACCGTAAAGCTCATCCAGTTCCAACTCCCTGCCATGGGCAGGCACACCTTCCACTAGAGCAGGTTGCTCCAAGCCTTGTCCAACCTGGCCTTGAACACTGCCAGGGATGGGGCAGCCGCAGCTTCTCTGGGCACCCTGTGCCAGCGCCTCACCACCATCACAGTAAAGAACTTCATCCTAATGCCTAATGTAAACCTACGTTCATTAAGTTTAAAGCCAGTGCCCCATGTTCTATTGCTACATCCCCTTTTAAAAAGTCCCTCTTCAGATTTGTCTCTTTAAAATGCAAGTTCTGTGCTTTTAGATGTCTGTGTGCCTCAAAGTTTCTGACCATTTTTGTCATTAGAAATCTCACAGGAATTCCTTAATTATTCAATTATTCCAAATTATTCTCTATTAAAGTTCTGAAAATATAAGCATAATGTTAAGTGTATTAACAACTTGACTAGACAGAGAAGTCTGTGCCATCAGTATGCTCCTCAAAACAATCTAGGTAAATAGTATGTGGTGACACGACTTCCCCTGCAGTTTCATAGGAGTGTAGAAAAATACCACTTTACACCCTGTATCATTAATGTATGCTATTTAGGCAGCTACTTTATTGAAGATAAGGGCTACATTCTTGGGATCAAAGGAGTTTCATTGTGTAGTTTGCTGGTGGGATTCTTTGGGGCTAAAAATCCTCTGAGCAAAGGAACTGCTTGTCTTCCTGTGTGCTAATATGCAGTATTAATGGCACTTGTGAAATAGGGACCTTTGTTCCATGTTAACCAAGTGTTTGGTGGAGGACATTGATAAAACCAGCCAATGAAGCTGGGTTTGTAGATGGAAGATGGAGGGTGATTTGTGATGCTGACTTGGAGTATGCAAGACACTTGATTTTTGGGTTTTTCTTGAGCAGAGGTTGCCAACAGTGCCAAAATACTTGTATTTTCACTTCTGTATTGAGTACTGTCTATAAGAGCTGCAAGAGAAGGCTGCTGCTGTGACCACAGTGTATTCTCTAATGGACTTATATGAGCCCAATATGAGGCACAATGAGCCAAAATGAGACACAGTAATAGGGAAAAGTCAGCAAATGTGTCAGTCTTGAGGAATGCTTTTTCTTTACACAGTTGGTAACAGTAATGCTGGGCTTTTGCAGGTCCTTTGCCAGGTGTCTGTGGACTTCCTGAGGTAAGGAAACTTAGAAAAGGAGCCTGACTGCATGCATGGTGGGTTCTGCTCCATTCAGGTGAGTACTGATCTTCTGCATTATGGCAGAAGGTCAGAGGAATGAGTGTGCAGGGTGTTGTGAAGTGGCCAGATGTGTGTAGCAGGAATGCTGTAACTCATTATTGGACTCACCATCAGCTGCATATCAGGCTAGAGCATGAACTCGGTGGTGCCTTAAGCTTTCGTGCCACCTAGCCTCTGATCTCCTCCCTTTCATGAGTCTTATTTTGTCTTGTTTGGATTGCACATGTGTTCATTAGACTTTTCCTAATGATCCTTTTCCTTGCACTATAGTGATCTGTATTTTTCTTTCCTATTTACTCCAAGCTGTTCTTTGTCAGTCGGTCTGATTTTATTTCTTTAAATTGCATCATTAGATTGTATTCCTTCTGTGCATCCCCCCGTGTTGTTTACATTTGTTCTTCCTTTATCCATCTTCTTCTATTTTTCCCCTTTTAACTCTTATCCTTAGAGGAACTCGGTTTACTCTTGGAGACCAGCCCTTTCGTATTGATTGCCAGCTGCTTTTATTGAAGCTCATTTGCATTCTCTGCTCTTATTGTGCCAGACAGAGGACTAGTGATTTTGAGTAAAGCTCTTTCCCCAAAGGCTTCGCTCAGAAATTGTTTCTGTATTTCACAAAAAGAGTGGGAAATAAAGAGCTGCATCAGTGCAAAAGCTGCTTCTGCCTAAGCCAATGTGTTTGCAGCTTTGTCACTTGAAGAGTAGAACTGTGGCCTGCCCTGCTGCAGGCACAAATGACTTCTCCAGGCTGAAATGAGCTGGTGAGGGGAGTACAGAATGATGTGGCCTCCTGTTTACTTATGTGGGCACCCCTGAGACTCTGGCAGTAACAAACCCAATCCGTTTTGATTGGGACTGTATTGTCTTGGTACTTCTGTTTACAAGCACTTGTGTAGCTGTGATTTATTGTATTTTTTCTATTTTCTTTTGGCCATAGGCAGCTCTAAAAGCATGTAGTAAGTGTAAAGATACACTGTGGTTAAGGAGTTGAGGTCCTGTGGCTGTGTAATAGTAAACTTGGAAAAAAAATGGAATCTGAGCAGGTGCCTGGCTGGGCTTTCGTGCTCAAAGTACTACCTGCCTTCAGATAGGCTCTTTGATAAGGGTCCTTGAGCCTTATTAATTGTTAAGTATAAAAACCTTTTATTCAGGCCGTGTTGATTTGGGCTCTGTATCATGCTAGAGGCATGGATAATCATGATTTGGATGTACCCAGCGTCAGAGTGTGGATCCATCTCCTCAGTCTGCTTTCTGTTTATAAATCAGTCTCTGCTTTTTTACCCAGTGTCAGTTTGGTTTTGTTTAACACCTTGGCTTTGCGTGTGCGTTTGGAAAGAAGTTCTCTGACCACAGTACAGTGCTTAGCATCAGGTCTGGAGAGGAGGTGTGCTGCATAAATCTGTTACTGAAACTCACTGATGTGCTTTGCCTCTGAAGTGTTTGTTCCTAGAGTGGCTGCTTACTGGTAGTTAGATGTCAGTAGTGTCTTGCACTTTATATAGCATTGTTGTGTCATGAAAGATCTTGTGCTTGACTCTGACACCCAACTAGAAGGATAACAAAAAGGAGGAGTTGTTCAGGGAAGCTGCAGCAAACAGCTTTTAGTTATAGAAGTGCCCCTGCAAACATAGCTTAGGTACATGGCTGTCATGATACAAATAAGATTCAAGATCCCTGAGCTTTTATTAGACCTTACTGGTGCCAGTATAAAATGTGGCTCTGAGCCTGGAGCTGTGCCACAAAAAGGCTCAGGGAATTCTCCTGTAATTGTTTGGTTTTGCTTAGAAACTATTACATTTACTGTGCTGGCTGGGTCTCACTATCAGCCCAGCACACGTACCATCATGGTGCAGCCTACTTTGGGTGGGAGTTAAACTCTAGCATAGTTTAGGATAGGAACTGAAGGATAAACATCCATCTTAAGTGCAAAACAACTCAAGTTTATTGAATTCCTAACTGTGTAAAGGAGTGTAGTTATACTGCTGTAGGGTATGTTTGAAGGCTTGGAGACCTAAAGTTCCTTGTGGTGAGGGACATTGGCATGGGGGAAAGGGCTGCATGTTAACTTCTTGCCTAATTGTTAGGGTTTGATAC